CATTTTCAAATGTTTGAATTGTGAGCCGCTCTGAGTCCCCTTCGGGGGAAAAGGGCGGCATATAAATATAATAAAATCAAATCAATCAATTTTGTGCTTTCAATTACTTCTTTGTTGAATTCAGATTATTATTGTTGTTGTTGTTATTGTTATCATTTATTCATTGAACATGAAACTCAGTCAATCAAACATTTGAAAATGTACCACAGATATCATTGACTGGTGCTGATGGTTGATACCGGTTGCTGCCAGCATCCTAGTACTGCAGTTTTTTGCAGTTCCGCTGGTGTTATTGCAGGAATTGTAATTTCTTGATATATTTTATAAAATTCTTGGACATAGCTCTTATATTCTTAACATTGTAGTTAACAATTATGAATGTTTTTTTTAATAGAAAAATAAATTGTATAAAAAGATCTGTGTGAAAACTAGCCCTGAAAATAACCCGAACAGTTGGTAATTCCAGAGGATTTACAAAACAAATATTTTTACACAGACACAGCACTGAGTTCATTTAGATTATACCTGGGTAACAGAACACAACAGAATTACAATCTGTTCCTTTTTAAAACTGTACAAGTTCAGTCAATCTTTTTTGTACACATTATCCAAAAAAAGAAATCTCTTTGAATGTTCTTGTTTTTTAAGTGAGCAAAATATATTACAACAAAAACTGAATGGTGTTGAAACTAGTTTTATGATCTTTGGAGGTTCTTTTCCCCCTCGTATTTATGTTCTCTACATGCTCGGTAGATTATTCTGGGTGCAATTTGAAAGTTCCTCCAAATTAGGAACAAATCAACATTATCTTCTGTCAGCCAACAGTTGTTGTTGTCTTTTACAGTTTATAGTTTTGTATAGGATACCTTTTTTAAATTGCTCTACGATTTTAGGAGCACTTTATTTTCATTTTCTTTGTTACTGAATATAATATTTTTTCATAGTTTTATACATCCAATTTATATCATCACATATCTCACAAGAAGTGACAGTGGGAGGCATACAACAAAGACAAAGCAAAAAGCCCATCAATATTAAATAGTTTTAAAAGAGCGTAGCATACAAGAGATGAGATTAGCAAGGGAGCCATGGATCCACTGAGACCCCAGGCCAGAGGTGGTATTCAGCAGGTTCNAATGTAACAAATCCCTCTAAATTGCCTAGATCCATCATTTCAGAAATTCTACTGAATAAGATAAAGAGCTCAAATATGCATACCTATGTAACCGAAAGCTAATACATTTATCTTAATCCCACCCCAAATCATCACTTCCCCTGGATATGAAGCTTTGTTCTTCTTGTTTATATCTACAAAGTGGTAAGGATTACAGAATACTAAATATAACTCTCTATTGCTCCCATCTTGCAAAATAAATGTGCAGATTTTGTTTGATAAATTAAGGAAAGTGCTGCACAGATGTGATCTTTCTATTGACAGTCAAATTCTTACAAACTTTAAGACAAAGCTTGTTCGGTTTGTGACTGCACAGAGCAATTGTAGCTGGCATGTTTTCATTACAAAAACAAAGTGCTTCAAGTTAAAATATAAAATCTGGTTTACAACCAAGTTAACACAATCATTTTTAGGATTATAAAGTGTAGAATTTGGAATCTGGCATACAGCAGAGATAAAAATAATACTGGTGGTTTTCAGTTCCACCTTCAGTTTTACACAAACAGCAAATCAGTAAGTGCAAACTCATCTTGCCTCCTACACCCTGTAAATGTAAGAGAAGTTGTAAAAATATCCTTTGGAGAAGCATATTTTAATGGCCAGCAGATACCTACATGGATATTGCAGGAACATTGTTCTGCTAGGTTCTCAATTAGTTATAGTATTGTAATCTGAAAGTCTGGTATATCAAAGATTTTAATAAGTCATTACAATACATTAGTGAATTAAGTCCACAGCATACAGGGCTTTCTGTTAATTTTTAGCAGAAGTTGGTTTTCATGGTGTAATGTAAATAGCTCTGATGACTGGCATGATTCCCACAATATATTGACAATGTCATGAAATTTTTGTGAAACTTTCGAAAATGGATTTTCGAGACCAGGCATGATATTTGGTCTTCCAAAAGTAGTGTGTTACATACTGATCAATGGATAAGAAACATCCAAAATTATTAGTTCAGTGACATTTTTCTTCTGAGCACATTCACTGCAATGAAACTTGGGACTCAAAACCACAATACCTAGTTGGGCAAAGTAAAAAAAAATGGCAAGCTACAGTAGGCAGACAAGGGTTTTGATTCCCAATTATTTAATAAAAGCAGCAATAACTTACTGTATGTCACAGAAATTGGAAGTATCCAGGATTGGGATTCTCAGTAGCATGCCTTAGGATTTTGGTAGTGACAAATTTCTAAACATTGAATTTTTAAATCCTAAGTATAATTTGGTTCATTAATTTGGTCTCCAATTAATAGATTTAGGGATCTTAACAATCTTGTGAAATTCTGCTATATTTGAAGATTTCTCTATGCAATGCTTTTGATGCCTATTGAAGTATTTTTTCTTGCACTTAATATTTAATATTGTATTGTTTTCTATTTCTATACTCATAGGAATGATTGCATTAACGAGCAACCTAAATTATTTTAAAACAATAAGGTAAAGGTTCCCCTTGCACATATATGCTAGTTGTTCCTGACTCAAGGGAGCAGGGCTCATCTCTGTTTCAAAGCCAAAGAGCCAGCACTGTCTGAAGACATCTCTGTGGTCATGTGGCCGGCATGACTAACTGCCAAAGGTGCACAGAGTGCTGTTACCTTCCTACCAAAGGTGGTCCCTATTTTTCTACTTGCATTTTTACATGCTTTCAAACGGCTAGGTTGGCAGAAGCTGGGACACGTTACGGGAGCTCACCCCGTTATGCCGTGCTAGGATTCAAACCGCTGAACTGCCGACTTTTTTCATCAACACGCTCAGCGTTTTAGCGACTGAGCCAATAAGTCCTGTGTCAATAAACCATGTCAATAAACAAATACAAATCTGACTTTTGTTGACCATAGCTGTAGAGGACTGGAGTTTTTAATTTTTATTTTTGGCACAGTAGCAGCAAGTGAATAGTACAAGTCCATGTAAACATTGGCTGTTTTGTAATCTATCACATGTCAAAATGTTTTGCACACAAATTTTACTAAAAGAAGTTTATTCCAGGAGGTATAAAGGTATAGAAGTCTTGTTCTTTTATAGCTTTATCCAAGCAGGGTTTTTCCCTCAATAAACAGGTACATGTACAATACTGTAAAAAACCGAAGGTGCTATAAAGTTAGAAGGAATTTGGCATCTTTACATAGTCTGTTACCTTCACAAGACACGCAGCTCTTACACAACTATTTCAAAAAGCATAAAATGAGTCAGTGAGTGAAGGGAGAGCCTTAAGCTACCTCTGAGCCTGAAATAACCTTTACAAAAATCCCTTGCAAAGGCCAGCAATTTGGGTTGTCAGATCTCAAAACTTTCCTGCGTTAAATCCAGCAATTTTCTTAATATTCAGTTCCAATTTATTCAATTCTCATACAATCTGTGCCCCCTCCAACAGCTGGTCTGGTGGGGGATGACGGCTGTTGTAGTCTTAACGGTTCGGCTCTGAGAAAACAAAGCCCACCGAAACATAAACGCACACACACAAAAACAACAAACCCACAACTTTAAAACACTTCGAAATTTTAAATTAAAATTCTGATCCATGTATGAGCGCAGCCGTGGTGACTTAAATAAGGGGGGGGAAATGAAAGTAGAAATGTGGCTAAGTCTCTGTTGCATGCATTTTCTCGCAGCGTACATCAAAACATTTCCCAGTGTTTTTAACATGCATACGTTGCCAATAAACCCTTATCTTGTCCAGGCGCTCAGAACTTAGCACAAGCACAGCCAGCAAGCGAAATCCGCACTGATGTCCGGCGGTCCTCCTTTCCAACCCCAGCCGCTCACCTCCGAAAAGACGATTTCAAGCGCTTTGGCGCTTTCGTTCAAGTTCAAGGAAGTCCGAGCGGTCGCGACCCGAGAGAAGATGCACCTGGGCTGCGAAAGAGACCTATTATAGCCGGCGAACGGCAGGTCCCTCGCCGGCTCTCCTTCCAAGGCTGTTTCACCGGGTCACCACTAGGGGAGCTGGAGGGCGAGGAGCACAGCGATTGCTCCATTCGGATATCACTCCATCTGCGGGCGGGGCCTCCCTTCGGGCCGAGGGACGGACCTTTTTTCTTGCGCGTGACGCGTGACGCGGCTTCTCGAGTTGCTGCGGCTGCGCCACCTCCGCTCTGTTCGCGGTGCGGGAGGGGGGGAGGGAAGAGGGTGGAAGAGAAGAGAGAGCGTCCTAATGCCGCCCTCACCAAACTGCACCCAGAGGAATCCTGGGTGGGGGTTATGTGATTTGTAGTCCAGCGACTGGGTGGTGGTGGTGGTGGTGTGTGTGTGTGNATTAATAAAAATAGTAGCTGAAATATTTAATTTATATCTCTTACAGAAGATATTGGATATTCCTTTAGGTCCACATTTTCAACTGTGGTATGTGGATAGCAATAGCAGTTAGATTTATATACCGCTATACGGTGCTTTATAGCCCTATCTAAGCGGTTTACAGAATCAGCCAACAATCTGGCTCCTCATTTTACCAACCTCGGAAGGATGGAAGGCTGAGTCAACCTTGAGCCTGGTGAGATTGAAATTGCCAAACTGCAGGCAGCCGGCAGGCAGCAGAAGTAGCCTGCAGTACTGCACTCTAACCACTGCACCACCGTGGCTCATATGAAGCTGCAAGACACTATTCATGCAGAGCAATTGTAAGAAGGAATTCATTACATTCAAATTTTAAATGCGACATCGGGCAGGTGTTGTATATAGCACCAGTCATGGCTACAGCATGGTAGAAAATGGACAAAAGTCATGAAATATATTAAATTAATTATAATGTTATCTTATTCAAAAGCATTGTGGTGACAGTAGACAAAGAAAATGGAAAGTTATCACATTCCCTAAGATGAAGAACTAACAGAATGAAATCTCCCTTAGTTATAGAAAATGACTAAAAGACAAGAAAATAATAGGCCTTACATAGCCAAGTATCTGTTATGGGCCTCTTCTGCAAATTGGGGACAGAAAATGGAAGATTCAGCTCTATTTTCCAATAAAAATGTAGCAATTAGGTACATTCTATTTTTACTGATAGTTTTCAGCTGGTGAATTATAATATTCCTATTTCAAGAGGGTCTTTTGGAATAATTTATATAAAGTGTTGCCTCTAGTAGTTTTGCTGTTTGTTGTTATTTTATTGCAGCTTATTTTTTACGCTACTATTATGTTGCCTCACAGATCCTAAAGCAGGGGTCCCCAACCCCAGGGTCACGACCCACTACTGGCCCATGGCGCATTTGTAACCGGACCATGCAAGGGATGGGCAAATGCCCAGATCTACTTGCAAAAATGTCAGGTGCAGGCGCTTTTGCGCACCTATCATTCACACAGCACCATTCTCTCTACCCCACCCCCCCAACCCTGCCAGTCCGCCAAGCCAGAAACCTTGGGAACCGCTGTCCTAAAGGCATGGAAATTGTAATTTGAAGCACAACACTTCTAAAAGATTGAAAATTTCATTCACTTGCATATTACAGAGTTGGAATGTAGAGGTTGAAACTTGTGTTTAGAAAATCTTGGTTAAATTACCTGGAATTTCCAATTAAAAGTCTGGGCAGCTAATCATGAGAAAGACCTGAGTCTTGGACCAATGCCATAACTAACGTAAAAAAAAAAAGAACAAGCACCAAAAAATTTCTAATTACTTAGATCAATATTTCTCAATCTGGGCACCTTTGAGATATGTTGACAACAGCTTACAGAATTCCCCAACTTGGAGAAATCTAGGAGTTGAGATCCACATATCTTAAAAGTGGCCAAGATTGATCTATGTTATCAAAAAAGTTTACCATCATCTTTGAACTTAACCAAGTGAAACTTACCCAACATCATCAACAATGTAGTGTTCGCAAAGGCGGCCATGATACTTCCTCCGATATAAGAGAAGATTCCAATAAAAACAAGGTAGCTATCTCTCAGATACTGAGAAAGGAAAACAATCCCTAAGAATCCAGTCACAGAGACTGAGGTGGACACAGCTGAGCCGTACCCTATGTAAATGGCATTCCAACAGAGGGGAGCATTCAGTTCATATAGCACATAGAGACTAAGCGCTCCAAATACTGTGAAAAGGTAAGTCATGAATGTGCACAGCAGCAAGATGATTAAAATTCGCTTCTTACAGGAGGAGGATTTAAAGAACATATATACTCCAGAAAGAGTGTTTTTAAGACCTTCCCGCCAAGATTGTGTCTGGATTGCAGAGACTTTCACCGTTTCATCCAAGCAAAATATGACATAGAAAATGTTGACTATGTGAAATAGAGAAATCATGGCAAATGTCCACATAAAGTCCATTTCTTTTAGAATGTATCCTGAGACCAATCCTGCAAATCCAGATGTGAATCCAAAGATTAAGTCAACCACAGCTATTCGGATGGTCTTTTGTTTCTGAGTCTCACAGCAATCAACTATAAAGGAAAAGGCTCCTCCAAGAAATGTAGCCAAGTCTCCAAACAGCCCCCCAATCAAGGAGAAAACAAAGAAGAGGTAGAGGGGCAAAGACAAGTCTGACATAACAAAGAGGAAGACGCTGCTGGTAAGACTCCCCACCAGGGGAAGAACCAATGATATTTTGCGTCCATATCGATCTCCATTGGCTACAAGGACAAAGGCCACCAAAATGCTGAAAATTGCCCCACATAAGTCTGTTTTCATAGCAAAGAGAGAAGCTTTTTCTTGGACTTCCTGAAAGAAGGAAATAAAACAAGAATAGAGACAAATCAATCAATGTAAGCATTGTAATTCAACTTCTGATCTCATCTATAAATAGGAATTCTGATTTACTACAAAGTTCTGTGATTAGAAACCAGCAATCAAAAAGATACAATTGGCCACACAATTAAGTTAGATGATTGGGAAAAGGTATGGGAGTGGAACGTGAAACTGACGATGTCGACGGCCTACAAAGAAAATGTATATAAAATGTTTTACCGCTGGCATGTCTCTCCGACAAGACTGGCAAAAATTTCCACAAAATCATC